CCCGGCCCTCCAGAGAGAAATCCAAGCAGCAGAGCAGAGACGTGGTCTGTGGAGACCGAGATATTTATGCCAAATGGTGATACTTTTTGTACGAAAAAAAACAAACAAAAACAAAACCGTTTATACACATCCTAAGACAGGTGAGGTCGAATCACACAAAACACTGCCACTTTTACGGCTCCAAGAGCTGATGACGGCAGCTTCGCGAGGGGCTGCGTCTGAGTGCAGAGCGGCTGCAGGTCACGCGTGGGTTTGGACGCCTTCAGAAGAATCGATCCACGCGCATGAGGAGGAGTAAGGAGCACTACTCACAACCCACACGTACAAACAACCCAGTGTCCACCCCCGCCGGTGGGGAGAGGAAGAACATGGGGGTCCATCTGGCCATGGGACAGGCTCGGCCACAAGGACTGAAGCTCTGGCACGCGTGACAATGCTGGGCGAACTGAGGACACTGCTGAGTGACCAGCCGGACACAAAGGCCGCCTGCTGTATGATCCTATGGAGATGAAATGCCCACGACGGGCAAATCCAGGGAGGGGGGACGCGATTAAACAGCCAGGGGCTTCGGAGAGGGGGAAGGAGGGGGCTGAGGGGTCTCCTCTTCCGGTGAGGAAAAAGGTGTGAATTATGCAGAGGTGACGGCTACAGAGCTTTGCGAATACGCTGAATGCTTGCAGCCGGAAGCTTCTAGGTTAGGTGGCCTTCACCACCAGCAACGCACGTACACGAGGACATTCTGAAGCAGGAGCGAACCACCGTGTGGGAGAGTCGGGAAATGGCCCTGGGGGCCCCACGGATCCAGCAGCAAACACCTGGGGGTCAGAGTCTGGGGCACACCTCTGCCCATGTCCAAGATGCCCCCAGCTCGCCCTGACCGCTGGCCCTCTCAGGTAGCAGCACCCCAGTGGTTGCCATGGCAATGCGCCCATGTTAGCAACAGGCAGCTCCTCCCTGCATGTACAGGAGGGACCTTTCGCAGTTTGTCAGGAGGCCCGGACTCAGGGCCGAGACACCCGCTCCCCCCCATCCATTTAGAAATCTGCTGTCCACCCCTCCGCCCTCCCACGTGGGTACAAGAGGCTTGAACAGAGCCAGGTCTGGGTTCAAATCTCACTTCAGCCTCCTGAGCTGGCAGCCTTCTCGCCTGTCACAGGTGTGCTCTGGGTCAGGACACGGCACTGAGCAGGCCACACGACCCCTGCCTCCTGAGGCTTGGATTCCAAGAGGACGGGTCACAGAAACACACCAACTCGTGAACCAGAGCTTGACTCCCAGGGGTGGTCAGGGCAGGCTTCCTGGAGGAGAGGGCGACTGCGCAGAGTGGGAGCTCCATGGCCCACCTCCTCACCGGCTCTCACGGGAGTACCTGGGGTGGGCTCTGCCCTGACACCCAGCACTATGGCCCACTGGGCACACGCGCCTGAGGAAGACACGGGCTCCGGCCACCCGGAGGCCTCTGGGAGAGGAGCGATGGAGACAGGATGAAGGGCGTCAGGGCTCAGTGCCCCCCATGCTGCTGTCCTGGCACCCTCGCTGCCCCCCCAACCCCCACTTCTGGAACCTCAGAACATCCCTTAGTTTGAGACTGTGGAAGCTCCAAGCCGAGAACCTCCAAGCACGGGCAGGCATGGCCTGCCTCAGACACCAACATACTCGCTAAAAACATGGATGCTTGCAGACTGCCGTCAGGCGGGGTCCAGGACCCTGCATCTGACAGCCCCCCAAAGACGGACACACACCCGCACACAGGAATACGACCCAGACCAGGACCTCACAGCATCCACAGGGCAGAAGTACCTGGGGCTTTACAGATGGCAGGTCCCTGGTCATGCGTGCCTCAAGGCCTGGTTGGCTCGGGCAGCTGTCACGTGACCAAGTGTCCAACCCCTGATGTCAGGACCAGACAGCCACCCTGGTGGGGGATGCTCAGACTCGCCGAGGGCGAACAGTGTTTAGGCTGGGGAGGAAGGGGACTCCGTTTCCCGACCCTTGGGGACACAGTCCATCTGCATCTAGCCACCTGTTTCCCTCAGTGCGGTGCCCCACCCCCACCATCACTATGGGAAAAGCCCGAAACAGGTGCTGTTGCTGCCCCATTTCCTAGAGATGGAAAATGAGGCTCAGAGAGGCCCGTGTGACTTGTGCAGCCATGGCCAAGTGCAGCAAAGCACTGTGCCCGCTGTCCATCTGCTGCCCGGCTCGCCTCCACAAGGGCTGGCTGTGGGCTGGGCCCACCTCTGGGGCCACCCAGGTGGGAGAGCGGCCCAGGTACCACAGGTGTCAGTCCAGGACCCAGCAACCCCTCGAGGTCCTGTCCCCACCAAGAAGCTCCGTGTGTCTAGAGACCAGACCTGAGTCAGGTGTGTGCACCTGGACGCATGTCACAATGAAAGGACTATGACATGGGTCCTGTGCGCGCTGAGGCCCAGGACACGGCGCCACAAGACCAGCCACGGGGAGGGGAGGACGGCGCAGAGCCCACCAGTCCCTGGCGCCGTGTCTGCCCCTCACTGTGACTCGGGCAGGTTAGAGCTGCTCCTTCCCGTAAAGCGGGTCCCGCACAGGGTGACCTCAGGGCTTGCTGTGAGAACTAAGGTCGTTCTCCGCCAGAGTGACTCCGCCCCCAGGGGACATGGCCACGTCTGGGACATCTCTGGCTGCCACACTGGGGGGGGTGGCATATGCCAGTGGCATCCCGTGGGTGGAGACCAGGGATGCTGCTGACACCCTGCAATCCTCGGACGGCCCCACCACGGAGAGCTGCCCAGCTCCACGCCGGGGTGGGGACACTGCCGCAGACCGCAAAGTGAAGGGCAAACTCGAGGGCTTGTCACCGCGCTCGGGGCTAGACGCCAGGCCAGAGGCTGGGAAGGAGGCGGGGGGCATCATGGGCTGGACATCACACACGCACGCACACCGGGACCCACTGAACTCCGGCGAGAAAGAAAACCCAGCCTAACCAGCAGCCAGCCGTGTCCAAGGATGGCCCCCGCCCCGCCCCCGCCCCGCACGCTGCAGCAGGCAGCGGTCCCAGCCGCCTGGCACCACGCAACAGGGCACTTGTGC